GACACCGGGCGGCGGCTGCCCCCGCGCGGCCGCGTTGCGGCACAGCCCTTCCGCAGCGGAACGCGATCAATTCCCAGCTCCGAGCGGCTCCCGAAGGCTGCGAAGACCCTCCCTTACTTTTTAGTCTAAGAGTTGCCCTTTTAAAACCCGCTTAAACACGCACAACCGCCTCAGAAAACAGACGACACCATTTCCGTGTTCCACCCCAGTTTATTGGCTGTAACCCGCGGCGCAGCGTGCTGCAGCTCGCGGGGTGAAGCACAGCGCAGGGCTCACGCTTCAGCCTTGGCCTTGGCCTTGGCCTTCACAGCCGTCTTGGCTGTCTTGGCTGCAGGCTCTGCCCTGGGCTCAGCTGGGACCTTGGCCTCGAGCTTGGCCTTAGCCTTGGCTTTCTTCTCTTCCTTAAGTTTATGCTAAAAAAAGAAAAAGACAAAAAGATTATCAGTTTATAATCTGAAGTACTAAAACCAGTTTTGACCATCACCAAGTCCCCTGCTCGCTCACATTTTGCGCGTGGCGCAGGATGGTGTTGCGGCGCATTGTTTTGGCATATGGGTTCAACTTGATCATGATTCTCAGATTCTTCAGAGGATTCTTCTTCAGGACTCTACGGCGAATCTTCTTCCTGAAAAGAACAGGAATAGCATGACCTCATTTCACAATTCAAGTGCTGCTGAATTTTCCCTGAAAGGCAGGGAGCCCCAATTCCTTGTAGTTACACCCAGGAGGTGAAGGAATCCCAGCCCCATCCGACATCCCAGCACAGAGATTTCCCTCACACTCGGCAATTACTAGACTGCACTTCACAGTCGTTAGATAAAAGTGATTACTTGGGAGGACGCAGCGCCTTCTGGATCTCCTGGCTTCTCATGATTCTCCCAATGTCCGTGTTGGTCATCTTGTGCATCGGCAGGCTGCAAAACAAACGGTGCCAGTGTAAGTCGGATGATAAAAAACACAGCTAGTGCAATGAAAATCAGGCATTTCAGGACAAGTGCTAATATTCATTTTCCCGCTCCGAAGGGACAAGCCTGAGGCCCACAGGCTGTTCCTCCAGACCCCTCCAGTGTCGGCTGCGCTCACTTGTAGTCGCTCTTCAGCGTAGCAGCTTTGCGCCAGGTGCCGTACAGATCATCCAGCTTGCGGAAGGCGCTTTCCGTCCAAATGCAGAAACGCCCAACATGGCCTCCAGGAGCAAGTCGCAGCAGGTTCAGCTTGTTCACATCCAGAAGAGTAATTCCTGTGGAAAACCAGACAAAGCCATCCCTTTCGTTTGTCATTAAAATCAAGGAAGGCACAACTATGAAATAAACAGCCGAGAAAGTACGCAGACAAGATGGGGCTTATTGGCTTCTACACCACACACCTATGTATGAAAATCTATCAAATTTTTAAAAATAATCAGCCTTTTCTCAGCAACAAACAGCCTCATTAACTGCTCCAAATGCAGTTTAGGGTTGGAAACAGCTCTAACATTTGTCATGAACCATCCTCCACATCACCAGAACAGATTCTTAGGAAGAACATATTTAGCTACTCCACCAAGTCAGAACTTCCACAAAATCATGTGTTTCAGAAACACGGACCAATGAAGTGGAATCTCATCATTCCAGGCAGTCTCCCAACAAAAGCATAAGCACATCCCAAGTTGAAGTTACCTGGAATATTCCGGAACGCTCTAATGATACCGTTGTCCTCATTGTAGATGATGCAGGGTCCCCTGCGCTGGATACGACGGCGATTCCTCATTTTACCCTTTCCGGCCCGCATACGCTGGGAGGCATAAACCTATAGAAAAGTGAGACTTGTGAGTATTCAAAATAGTCCAAATCCCACTAGTACGAGACAATAAAACTGCTTTAGTCAGAACTTCACAATCATCATTGCTGATCTGAAACACGGACCAGTGAGAAGTTCATCATTCTTAAGAGTAAAAAAAAGTATTAAATGTTAAGTGATACCAAAATGAAGACAACTAAATACAGAGTAAAGCAGTGTAGTAAGAAGTTTACTTTGCTTAAACTCTTCTTTACAGTTTCTCGTAGTTTTGTCATCGAGGGATTTCTAGCAGCATCCAATCAAGACAGAACTACTTGGAATTCCCACTGTAACAACGGCAGAGTTGAATCACCTGGGTTTTGCGCCCGAGAACTGACCTTACCAACTCACCTTTTTGATGTCATTCCAAGCTTTAAGCTTCTTAAGGAGGAGAACAGCTTCCTTGGTCTTCTTATAACTCTCAACTTTGTCCTCAACAACCAGAGGAAGTTCTGGGATCTCCTCAATGCGGTGACCTAGTAAGGATTTTGCAAGACAAAGTTACTCACTAACACATTTCTCAGGGTATTGCCTCGTGTATTCAGAAATGATACAACATCAAAACAGTGGAATTAAATTAATGATGTAATACACAGACAGTCACTACAGTAATGATGTTCCAGTGGAGTCTTAAACGTCTGCCTCAGACAGTACTTTCTGTTCCTGAGGAAGTATTAAGCAAATCTCTGGTTCCCATGAACAGAAATCAAACTGAACTGCCACGTGATTGAAAATTCAACCAGTTTCCATGAAGATTTGTGTCAGCAACGAACACAAAAGCACCTCAGCATCTCCAAACTTCCAACACAGCATAACTGCAAAGTACCTTCATGACTGGTAGATAATAAAAATACCACACCACCACCCCCCACCCCCCCCGAAGAAGCAACTGCCTCAAACTCTTTAAAAGATAATTATTCATGAGACAGATTTTGAGGAATCACACGGTAATTGACACTGCTCAGGCAATGTAAAACTGCAGGTAAACGTTTCTAGAGACACAATCCCCACCTTTCGACATGACCAGTGCCGGGAGAGCGGACGCTGCCAGGGCGGAACAGATGGCGTAACGCTTCTGCGTTGTGTTCACTCTACGGTGCCAGCGGCGCCAGGTCTTGGTCGGGGCAAACATGCGGCCTCCACGACACATCTATGCATCTACAGTTAAGAACAACCTTTCTGAAGCTTCTTTTTTCTAGTTGTGACTCTTTAATCCTTGCTCAGCATTAACTGTTCGTCAACCATCTGTACCAGTATGCTGACAGCAGGCAACTGCCACTGAGCACAGAGTAAGACGCAAATTACGACATCACAGCAAGACAATATGTGTCACAAGTCACGACAGCTGCTGTTCCTTAAAGCAAGGCTGAATGTGCATACAGGAGGTTCTAATCACATCACAAATTTCTCAAATCTGGTGGTCCAGATCCCTGTAGTAGCCATTACCTCGTTTCCATCTCACATTTAAATACTTAAAAACAATCTTTCTATTTGGTGAGTTGAGTGCACCCAACACAAGTGGCAGCTGTGAAAGGATACATTTCCAAAGGCACCCTGGCCAGAGCGGTGAGTTCCACCACCTCGTACTCGAGGAATACGAGCGACAGCTCTGCCAGTACCCCAAGATTCAGCACTGGTCTGATGACCTGGAACAGAAAGATTTTAAATCAGATAGTGACAACACTGCAATTTCCGCAACGTTGCAGATATGCCGAATTCAGGACTGCCAATCAGAACTTCCACCGTTATCATGTGTTTCAGAAACACGGACCAATGAAGTGGAATCTCATCATTTCAGTAAAACCAATCCTAATTAATGCTTAGCACATTAAAATATCTGCTTAGGCGAGAATCAAGTACATGAACATACTCATTTCTAAACTCGATCCTCAATGTGGAGGTCTGACTTAGCACTGCTCTTCCTAGGGTGTTAAAACATTTATGTGAAACACCATCAGAAATCTACTTTAAAATGCATGTTCCTAGCACAAATTTCTTCGGAAGCAGAAGCTATTTGCACCTACAAACTTCTGAAGCAACTCTAACAAATGCCTATTTGCATAAGTTTCTTCCTGGCATGCGGCTCAGGTAAGTCTCATGTGGTCAACAGGGAGCAGGGATTATAAAGTGCATTTTTTTATCCCAGTTTTGTGCCTGATATGTTTTCGTAGATTTTATTTTTCTTGCAAAAAACGTAGATTGCACTCAAGGACCTAGGCACCACACTTCAGTAAGATGCATTTCAGATAAGACCCCAAATTACTCCAAAATTTTTACACCACACCTTGTTGTTCTTCAGAATAAAGAAGGTGTATTTCATACAATTTAAAGTCAGAATGTTAGTTAATAGCCAGAACAGTTGCCTTGCCTTCTATACAGAATCCCACTGAACAGCGCCTCTCTCATTCCAATTCTAAATTTGTTTCAATTTTAGCCCACCTACACCACAGTCAAAGCTTAATCCAAGCATTTCTGTCCATTTTGTGGTCCAGCCATACCTGCAAGTTCACTGACAGCATAGGGCTGCCTGTTGTTCTTGCGCAGGTTGGTGTGAACGAAGTTCACGACATCAGGGCGAATGGGAGCCTTGAACACGGCAGGCAAAGTGACATTTTTGCCTGATGCTTCCCCCTTCTCAGAGTAGACGGATATTAATGGCCGAGCACAAGCCTGAAAAAGGAAAAACTCTTACGCACAAGTAAAATAAATTGCCAGCATTCAAATTCATCAAATATTGCTCAGAATGAAGGGGTCTTCAGTTCAACAGTGCCAGCACACTGACAGCAGGCAACTGTCACTGAGCACTGGATAAGACGCAAATTACATCATCACAGCAATAATTTTCACCTAAAACAACGGTCCACAGCACAATCCGTATTCGGGAAACTATACCTGAGGGTTGAAATTCGCTAGATTTCCAAGTCATCTGTGTAAAATTAATCTAAGAATTGAATCTCTGGGCTCTTTAGTCCCACCTTCTAAATTTCGTCTCATTGACCATTAAAAAACCTGATGTAAAACCCACATGTGTTTATTCAGTTAACTAAAAACTTGCTATTTAGATGTTTAACAGGTGAAATCCTGTAACCAACTTCTCAAATGCAA